TTTAAACTGGCACGCATAACACAGACATGTTCACAAAAAACGTAAAAACAATAAACACACAATCACTCTTATAAGCCTCAACTTCTTCCAAATAATGCATAAAAACAACGAAACCAAACATGAAAAAATAAAACAGTTACAAATACCTCTCCAAAATAGTTCAACAAAAGTACAAATAAAATCAGAAGCACACCACACACAAACACCAACACATAATAACTAACGCGTTTACATAAAAACACACAAACATAAATGTACATAAACTCACACAGAAGCACCCACACCCACATAAAAACTCATAGAGGGAGACACAAAGCCACATATCTGCCCACACAATTACCTAAATACCAACATACACAATGTAGAAAAATATAAATACATGTACACTCACACAACCACACACACAGATAAATACAAACACACACACACACACATTCTCATGAGCATCATGATATATAGCCCATGTGTACGCCCACATGCAAATGAACTGCACACAAATCTACAAGCGATAACTTTCCGTATGCAAGTAGTTGTTCTAAACGCCTGTACACACCTATGTACATAAATACACACATACATACAAAAATAAATACACACATAAATTCACACATACATACATAAGTACACACATGCATACAAAAGTACATATACACATGCATAAAATTATCCCATGTATACATATAGAAACGTACATACATGCACCCATACATGCTTACCTCAAAACATACATGCACACATACATGTTTACATATAAACATAATACAAACAAACAAACATACTTATATATACATACATCTAAGCAAATACAAATTTCGTCATTAAGCAAACATAAACATACATACACCCGAGTTCTAGTTTTGTTTTATATGAACAAACATATCGAAACATATTCTCACAAATGTATACACATATAACAAAAATATACACAAGCACACAGACAAACGCACATAATAGAATATACTGATATACAACATCTCACGATCACGTAACATACAAAGCACCACGGACAAGATCATCTGTATGTGTGCCGACGAACATTCCTTTATTGGCATCTTTGCATAAACAATAAACATTCAAGCTATATATTTTTTAGGGTATAAATATCTTAAAACATATATATATATATATATATATATAAATTTTTATGTTTATATAGTTATATATATATAAGTTGTTAAATATATGTAATTTTTATATATGAACTTTTATAAACAGTTCATACATTCACGCTCAAATGTTTGAACACATTGTTTAATTTTCCGTTAAGTAATCATGTGAATATATACTGTTTTTGGTTTTGTGTATATATTGGCTTGTATGTCTGTGTGTATTTGTGTGCGTGTCTGTCTGGTTTTTTGTGCTTTTTTGAGCTCAATTGCTTGTCAAGGAGTTCAGAAGATACAAGTAGAAGAAGTGTCTCCATTCTTAATTCTCTTCAAAATAAGATTAATTTTTTTTGTCTTTCATTATTTTTAACAATTTTTTGTTTAAAAACTTTTCTGATTGAGAAAGAGCATTTGAAATTATTTTTTGAAGATGTTTCTCAGAGCATCTGACTGAATCTGTCTTCATTTTGCGCTGCATAACTCGTTTGTGAGTGTCTTCTGTATGTGTGTATGTGTGTGGTGTGTGTGTGTGTTTATGTGTGTGTGTGTATGTGCGTGAGGTTTTCTATATGTTTAAAGCTGTGTTTGTGGATGTTATTGTCAGTGTGTGTTATTATTTGTGGGTTCGTTTAAGTGCTCACAGATAGTGTTGCAGCTTGTATCAGTTAATATTTTTTGTATATGTATGTGTTGTTTGTAATTTTGAATGTGTTTCTTTTGTATGTTTGTATGTTATTATATGTTCATCATGTTTTATATACAATTATGCACACAGTTGATTAAGTTGTATGTATGTATGAATGTGCAGTGCATGATCGTTTAAAATTTGTTTGCATTGCTTATACATGTTTGTATGTGTTTCCATGTTTGTATATGTTTGTTTTTTATTTTTGGTATGATTTTTGTATGTTAATTGTTGATTTGTGTTTTATTTAGAACCGGAGCTATTTTGATTTTGCTTATTTCCT